AACTGCGCTGAATTAAACTCAGTTCCTCTATTGGTCAAAATCTTTTGAATATTGACCTTATGCTGGTTCTCCACTAGGCGGCAGAATTCCTTAAATTTAGACAATATCTGATCCTTGGATTTGATAGGGTAAACAAATCCAAACCTACTATGGTCATCTACAATTGTCAGAAAGTAACGATTCCCACCAAAAGAGGCTTTCAGGGGACCCACCAGATCCATATGTACCAACTAGAATATGTGTTCAGAATATCTCTGGGATTTTTTGGGTGCAGGACTCACTTTTGACTTCGCAATCCTGCAAATAGAACAGTCCAGAAAAATGTTACAATCTTTAACCCTGGTTCCATTTGAACATTCAGATACCTTTTGTACTACTGGGAAGCTTACATGACCCAATCTATGATGCATGAGATGAGTACATTCATCATGTAACGACTTGCCAATGGAGATTGTGTTGGCTCACTCCTTCCCTGTTTTAAGTTAAAACTTACAGTCCTCTTACTGCTTAAAACATTTTTACAATTACCTTTAAAATTCCCCTTCTCTTGTGTACCTCCAAAATCTTCATCTGAATCAAATTGAGATTCGTCATCATCACTATCAAGAGTGGTAATCTGGTTAGTAATATCAGATTCCTCAGCCTTTGAAATGGGAGAGTAATAGGGTAAACCGCTGATTTTCAACACTTCCCCAACCACATGCTTATTATTGGTAACCACAGCAGTTCCCTCTGTGAACAATATCTCTATCTTAGAATTCTCACTTATCTTCACAGTGCTGAGCAAATTATGATCAATGTCAGGTACATATAAAACATCATTAACTTCCCCAAGCCCAGGAATAAAAACCTTACCAATACCAGTAACTCTTACCCTTTTACCATTTGCAACCTTAACCATAGATTTATATCCCCTCAATTCAGTAAACAGCCTTTGATTATTCACAATATGTTTGCTTGCCCCACTATCCAACAGCCACAGTTTTATGTGTTGCTTTCTAGAGAGATCTGATTCAGATGTCTCAACCACAGTAACAAAGTTGTCAACAAAACCAAATTTGTCCTTCTTATCATCTTTCTTCGACCATTTATCCCTTCTCTGACGGGAAGTATTACTTGTGGCTTCCCATGTGGAGTGGGTGATCTTTTCCTATACCGACCACCAGAGGGCGCCCTTTGGCATGCTCTAGCATTACGCAGGCAATCCCTTTTGTAATGACCCTTAGATCCATAATTAAAGCATTCCCCAACAGTATAAATCTTATCGGGGCTTTTTGACCTTCTCATTTGCCTATCCTTCCCGTGGAAGGTTGCCCTATCTTTTCTCAAATTGTCTTCAGCAATTAATTTACCAGACAGAACTTCCAGGGACATGTTTTCAGGACTAATGTTGTCCAGTCGGGACACAAAATTATCCCAACTAGGATCTAGGGAGTTAATTAAGATACTGATCAAACTCTGTTCATCTACATGCTGTCCCCTTAAAGTTAACTCCTCCCGCATTTTATTAAGTTCACAAAGGTGTTCGTTCATATCAATACCTTGTTTCAATTTCGCAGAATGAAATTCACTGGAAATTCTGCTTGTTGCATTAGAATTCTTGCAACAAAACAGTTTAAACAATTTTTGCCAAACTTCACATATAGTTAAACCATGTGGAATACTGGGATACAAAACAGGGTCAATGGCTGATAACAAAACACAAAACGCTTTGTGATGCAAAAGATCCGTTTCCATAGTCCAGGGATTGGGGGGAGGGTCAAGCAATAACGATAACACATCTTCCCTCATTAGAATCACCTGCACATTTTTAGACCATTCCTCTAAATTCTTTCCACTAATGTGTAAGGTTTTAAAACCAGATGGCAAAATATTTGCATTTGTAGGCGTAGGATTAGGAAAATGCTGCCTCCCATGATGTCGCAGATTTTTAAACTGACAATAGGGTATAGGAATCACAGTGGTTGGCTTAAAAACTGCCGGTTGGTCACTCGATGATGGCCCCCCCCTTCAATGGAGGGAGTCAAATTCTCAGGCTATATGTACTCAGAAATCATCCGTGCCTGTGATGCAGAATGTGAAGACCTCCTCGGCTGCCTCCCCGCAGAAAACCTTGAGTGTTCTCCTGGAACGTCAACTTCGGTTGGTATAGTCCCAGAGGTAGCTCCAAAAACTGGGGGGCACCGTGGGAGTGCCCACCCCATTTACAACAGATGAAGAGCAGGTCGTAGATATTGAGGGAGTATTAATACAAGTTGCAGTTTCACATTGAGCAATAAGTAAGTGAAAATCAGTTCCAAAGAACGCAGTTAACGTCTCAATTGCACTTGCAACTTCAGTTTCGGGAGGTGAACTCCTTACATTCAAGGCTGTGCCCGCCATCACCATATTGGTCGTCTGGGTAGTAGCCAGCCCAGGCAGCATTGGTGGCATTTCAGATGCAATCGGAACTAGCGATGCTGTAGTCGAAGGGGGGATAAAACTTCCAGCTGGCTGATTTAAAGCAGTTTGGGCAGTAGATAACATTTGGCGGGAAATTTAAAACAGGCAGTTCTTTGTTTCCTGCCTTGGGTTTACAGCCAGCAAGGGGGGTTACAGGAGAAGTTTGAAAATCCCTTACCAGCCTGATGTTTTCAGTCCTGTCTCGAGCTGCCACTGGCGTAGTTGCTGCTTGCATCAAGACGCTGAAATCAGCAGCTGGATTCTGACATGTTGTAGGGAGTCCGAGAGTTTGAAGTATTATTGACCTCACTTCATCTTCTCCCACCGGTCTTACATTCGATGCCATAGGAGACGCCCGTCTACCTACTGCTCCTCCAAGTGGGGGAAAATCACCTTCTGCAACATGCATCTCGGGAGCTGGGGCATCTGCTTCAAAACTCACAGCTTCTTCGCTCTCCTGCACAACCGTTGCTTGAAGTCCTCCAGCTGAGGCCATCCTGGCTTGTTCTTCCATCAATTGGTCTTGGAGTTGCTTCCTCTTAGTAAAGGCCCGGGTCTCGACTTTATCCTGTCGCGTTGGTTTGATGGTGGGCATGCTAGTGCATTGTGCTACGAATCAGGTCCATTGAACTGCTACCAATTGTGCTACCAATTGTGAAGGAAAGGTTATGTATTGGAATGGACCATGACCCAATATGCACACAAACGCACTAAAGCATGGAAGTTGACAGAGGAGTCTTGAGAAACTACTTAGTTTAATAAAAAAACACATGAAAATAAAACCTACAAGAAGGCACCAACGGCCTAAAAAATTATCCTCTCAGCAAAGTCCATTAGCTCTAATCTTCTTCCCAAGCGTGGGAGGCTCTCTGCGTTCTTTGTCAGTCTTCTCAGGAGCAAGGCAGTGACTCAGCTCTTTGTAGCAACTTCAGCTCTGGAGTAAGGTCTCTGGCCATGATCTGCTGCTCTCTGCTGGGCTCTGCAGTGAACTCAGCAGTCAACTCTGGTGCTGCTTATATACTGATCAACTGTCCGTTGGAAAGTGCGGGAAACTCAGAGCCAGGAAGCTGTGCTCTGATTGGTTCATTCAAACTGTTCAAACCAATCAATCAATTAGCTGCAGCAATATGCTGAGAGGTTTTTCCTCTCACATATAGGCCATTATTGATGTAATTAATATATATCACTAATAAGGCAAATAATATATTATCATCAGTTAATTATGATTTTTTAAACAACCACTGGATGTATTGATTATATTGTTTTTCCTTTTGCATCTATTAAATATTGCAGTCACATGACAGATCTCCAAAATTGTAGGGGAAAAAAGCTGCAGATTTATAATACCAAACTCAGTTTCATGAAAATCCATTTTAATTAAACTGAAGTTTGTAGCTGATCAGTTGTTCTTAAAATTCAATGTCTAGACAAAAGCTTCGCTGCAAGAAGGATTGCTCAATATGATGTCCAGAAGCAGAGGATGGAATTCTAGTGTCAAGACATTGAATTTAAAGTATTTTTTGCTTTTATAGCATGCCACAGTACACAAATTCAATGCACTGAATTTAAAGTATTTGTGAGCCTATGCCACAAAGACTGGACGCAATTGCTAATTGCAGTCCACTGTGAACAGCTTCTATAGTGACACAAGAGACTTCTAAGAAGCTAATCATAAATAGAATAATAGGATGCACTAAACAGGGTAGTTCATAGCAGGTAGCAGGGTGCTAATAGAGAGGGTAATGAGATGCCAAGATTTTGCAAACATATATAAAAAGGGCAGGGCTTATATTAGATGGTCACCATGTTCATGACTTTTTTGTGCTGTCCCCACATCCTCACACAAACCCTGGCTTTTGGCATGTAAGAAATTTATTCTAAATGTAGTATTTATCTTTTGTCATGTAAGAAATTATACTTCTATCTATGTGACCTCAGCATTTGGCATCCATAGCTCCAACTCTTTTTATTAAAATTTGTCAACAATCCCACAGGCACATCTGTTTACAAACTTTTTTTTTTATTTCATGTAATCTGATATGTAATCTGCCTCTTAAAAGAGACAGAGAAGGAACTTTACAGAATGTTATTATACAGCTTTCCAAGTGGATTTGTCACCATTTTTAGTCTGTTAGTTCCATTTTTATATTAAGAATCAAGATAGTTTGTATGTTGAAAGGAGAACCAAAAATGCAACAACTGTAGTTTTCGTCACAAAACCAAAAATCTAAATAAATAAATAAACTCCAGTAAATAACATCCCCCCTTTTTAAAAAGAAAATAAGTAAACATTTAAAGCTGACTCAAATAAACAAGTATTTGCTAAGGAGAGATTGGTGGATTTTTACATATAGGGCATTCTTGGTTAAGTCATTCAAATGAGTGGAAAAAACAGCCAGAATATGCAAGAATTCCATGTGTATATTTTGGTCCATACAAGAAGCCTGACTGGTGCCTGCTTTTGCTTATGAATAAATTTGAGTTTCAACAAAAAATTGAGCACTTGCTGCTATTTGTTTTTTCTTTTCAGACTATAATTATAACTGTTTCCTTTGCAGACTTTGCCAGTGAGGTTTGGAGATGGACAATTGTATACCTGGACAGATGGTTTGAAAAGAAAGGACTGGCATGACTATGAACGTATTCAAAAAGATGCCGTACGTTTAGGTGAGATGCTTAAGGAACTTGACCCATACATGTAAACAATTGGGAATGGGCAAAGGGAAGAAATTAGAGCACTACATTACTTACATACTTGCGAGCAATGTCAAAATACAAGTATGAAAGGTCAGTTTGTGTTGTGATGTCACTATGCACATTTCTTCATTTTCACATCATTGTGATTTCTACTGGACACTTGTGTCCCTATGGACACCTGAATAAATAGCATCTACAGAAATATCTTCAAGTATCTGAAATGTCATGCAAAATGTTGCATACCAAACTCAGTTTCATGGAAATCCACTTTCTTTAAACTGATGTTTGTAACTGATCAATTATTCTTAAATTTTAGTGTCTAGCCAGAAGTGCCAGAAGGATTGCTAAATGTGATGCCCAGAAGCAGAGGTTGTAGTGTATATTTTAGTTGAAATGTTCAGTTAAATTAGTGTGACATTCCATCTGCCATCTTGCTTATTTTACCCTTACCCTCCATCCTTATGGATGCCACTAGGAATTGTCATAACTGAAATAAGAAGAAAAGTGGATCTGTTCCATTATTTAAAAACTGAAGTTTTATCACAGCACTGTCAGTGGATAAATTTAAAAGTATCCTTTTCCTATTTTATTTTATTTTTTTAATATCCTTTAAAGTTCAGCTCTTGTAAAAATTAAATTATTTGAATGATGTATATACTATCCTTACTAGTTTGTTTTTAAAACTGTAAGACTGAAGCAAAGTGACTAAAAGTCACATAGTGATTGTCTTTGCTAAGTGGGGATTTGACCAAGCTGTTCCTAGTCACAGTTCGGTATTAATCATAACACACTGACTTAGATAGACATATATTTCCAACGGTTGCCTTATGCAGCTTAAGTGAGACTTTGTTCCTATGTTTTTGTGTTGGACTCTAATTATTTATTCAAATGGAAGTAGCTTTCATTTGTATGAAAGTGGCACATTTTTCTAGTGTAACTGTGAAATTGGGAATCAAGAGTTAATCTACAAATTTGATTCGATCGGAAGTGTCAGATTCGACCAGAAGTGTCGCGGCTAGACAGTCAGGGAATTAGTGGGCTCTGATGAGCGCCGCGAAAACCCGGACTGACGAACCGCCGCCAAGGGGTCTTTGGACTGGAACCATCCTGTAGGGATGGGGAAGAAGGACAGGCACCTCGGAAGACCAAGAGAAACAGGCAAGTTCCTTCAAGGTCAGAGAATCTCTCTCTGATTCGGCGGCGGGGGCAGCAGCCATTGCGGCTGTCAAGAAGCTGGGGCAACCAGACTAAGTATTGAGCAGGAGCGGTGATTGCAACAGAGTTTTTGAAGCCGGGTGAATGACAGCCAACCAACAGGCAAAATAACAACAACAACAAAACTTTTTTAAACTTGAAACCCTCAGCATAAATATAGCGGCTAATGGACATGGTGGGGAAGAAAAGAGGATGTAAATTGAATTTAAAGAGTCAAAAACTCAAAAAGAAAATTGACTTTTAAATAAAAGTATCTGGAAAATTTTAAGAATTAGAAGAAGTAACCCCAAAATTGGTTAAAGGATCGGAAAGAAAATAAATAGAACCTTTTTTGGGGGGGGAATGTTAAGAAAAATAAAAGAGCATTGGACATTAAGCCCTGCAACAGAAGTGTTGTATACCTAAAGATAAATTAAGGGGAAAAAAAGAAGGGAAAAGTATTGTTTAATTTGGACTGGACTATAAAATTGACTTGGTATTTTCAAAGTTAAAAAGAAGAAAAAAGAAACTAGTAAATATTGTTAACATGGACTGATACAAAATGGATATTTTGTTAGTCAGTTAAGAGGAATTGTGGATTGTAGAGAGACATCTTCAGGAGAAAAAAATAATTGCAATTTGGAATCTTTGTTTTGGAAAATTTTGAACTGCATCACTGATAATAGTCATAAGAACTTTTGGGGAGGATTGCTTTGTCTGCAAGGGGCTTGACTTTGGGGAAAAAAAAGGGAAACAACGAAACTTTTAAAACTGGAACAATACCAACACGGAAAAAATAAAATGATGCAGGAAATTAGAGAAATGATGGAAATGATGTACTCATTGTGGAAAGTGGAAATAAGAGGAATAATTATGATGCTACATGGAGCATCGAAACTCGAGAATCCAAAAACTGAGAGAGAGCATGTTCAAGCTGACAAGGAAACAAAGACGGAGAAGCAAGACACAGAGACTGAAAACAAAGAAGAAGATAAAGACAATGAGATTAATTTTGGAAAATTAATTGAATATATGGATAGTAATAATAAAAAGGAGGTTTTTAGAGATTACATTGGGATTAACAATGGAAAAAAACAGAAAGGGCAGAAAGAGACAAAGAAGGAAAGAAGGGTGGAATAGAAAGAACACAAAAAACTTATATGATTACACCGGGATTAACAGTGAAAAAAAAAGAGAGGAAAAGAATGGGGAACAACAGGAAATGCAGGGCAAAATAGAAGAGTCCAGGTCTGTGAAATACAGAATGACTACACTGGGATAAACAGTGGGATAAATAGTGGGGAGATAAGAAAAGGAGAAAAGAGATGGGAAACAATGGGAAATTTAGGGCAAAAGAGGAGAGCTCAAGATTTCAAAATACAAAAGAAAAAAAAGGGGAAAGAAAAAGGTAAAAATAAAAATGGGACGGGAGAAAAAGAAATGAAAGAGAAAGATGCTATATGTATTTAGAATTGAAATATGAATTGTAGTAAGAAAAAAATGGGAAACCATATGATTGCAAAAATGAAATGAATAATAATTGGAATATTTGTATTTGTATTTTTGAAATTTAAATAATGATAAGCTTTGTTTTCTTTATCTTTTTTTAAGAAATATGAATAAGTTTAAATTGTAACAACTGAAATACCTTTAATGGTACAGTATATGGTGGTGAAAATAGAAAGGATTAAGTTGTGGCTTGGATAACAGCTAAAACATTTTTAAAATTAACTAGGGAAACTGTAACAGTGGAAATATTTTTAATTTTATAATGTGATGAAAGTAGAAATGATTAATTGTAATAATTGAAATACTTCCAATTGTATATTGTGTTGAAAGCAGAAATGACTATAATTAATTGATTGGTAAAAAGATAGTTATATAACTAACTGATTAATACTAAAATGTTGGATTTGTATTATCAAAGGAAATGTATGTTATAAAATAAGCGGATTTATTATCATTATAAGAATTAAACAATTTTAACACTACATAACTAACCAATGTGAGGATAGATATAAAAATAGATGACAAAGGGAAGGGGTATAATATAGAATAGAAGGGAAAAACTGAATTTGATTAAGATTAGAGATGAGAATGAAGGGTAATATTGTTTCTTAAAAAATAGATGAGAAATAAATATGGCAAAAAGGAAATATAGAAATTGTAAATTTAATTGAAATGACTAAACACTGTTTAAATTTGTGAACCGGCAAAATACTCTGTTCAAAGAAAATATTTGTATGTGTGTCTGTCTAAAAAAAAAAAAAAAACTTGACCAAAAAAAAAAAGAGAGTTAATTTACAAATTAAAGTATAGTATAGATTATACTAAAGTGTGCTAGCTCATCTCAAAGTTTTACACATTAAAACTAAACAAAGATCACAGAAGCATAATAGGCTTCATGTCATATTTAAAACTTGTGTATCAAATTAAGTTTTCTCCTAACTGAGGAGAATAAAAAAATGTACAAACAAGTCGAAGAATTGGCACTGTTTCTTTTTGGTTATTTAAGAGTATGAAAAAAAGTATCAACACATGTTTACCTTGAAATAAAATAGTATATAAAGCACACTATTTCAAAACTTTCTAAATTTAGTAACAAAGCATTCCATTAAAATTCAGAATGGTCTAGAGCCGTGATGGCGAACCTATGGCCCGCATACCCGAAGTGGCACGCGGAGCCATGTCGCCTGGCATGCGTGGCATCACCTGTTTCTCTTCTGGGTTTCTGGCGCACATGCGTGCACGATGATCAACTGGCCTTTTTGCGTGCAACAGTGCCGGAAACGAGAAGATCTTCTAGCTGGTTTTCCGTTTTTCTGTGTGAGCATGCGCGCTGGCCAGCTGATTGTTATGTGCACATGCGCACCAGAAACCCAGAAGAGTAGCTGGCTGAAACCGGAAGTTCAGAAGCTGAAACTGGAAGTTCATTTTTGGGGTTACTCATGTGCCCTGGGCAGTGCCTCTACTGGGTTGCAACCCAGACACGCGCGCACGGTGCCCAAAAAAAATTGCCATCACTGGTCTAGAGGAAGGGTGGCCAACTATTTTGTAACCAGGGATTACAATTTTGTAGTATTTAAGAGTTAGCAAGGAGAGCAATAATATTTTACAAAGTCTATTCATAACCTATTTCTTTGCTATAAGAATTTCACAACAGGATCTCAGGAGATCTGAAGACTAAAAAACATTTGGTCTGATCTTGAATGAAGAGAAGGGGTAGGGAACTCATTTCAGAACTAAAATGTGTATCCGCCATTATCATTGGCCCTGTTTTCAGAACAAGTTGCTTATCTTTGGAACAAAGCATCAGACTAAGCTGAAAACAGCCCAGATTTACATTTATCTTTAATCCTTAATATTGTACATGAGTTTCAATGAATAATATTTCAGATAATTTAATTTACTTGTATTGGGATTAGCCCTTGGAGAAAGGATGAAGTAAAGTATATTTAATAGGTCTCCATTATTTTAATGCAGATGTGGTATCACAGCTTCAGTCTAAGAAGATGTCAATATTAACCTAAAATGATCCTTTGCTGCACCCCTGAAGGTTGAAATTAATAAGAAAATCTATATCTCTTGATTAGTAACTTGTTCAATATGCTTTCTTAAAAACTTTTCATGTTGACAGCCACTTTACAAACAGTATGTAATACTAGCAAAAGTCAATTGAGAGTCATTAATTGCCCCCTCCCACACATACACATACAGACTATGAAAGGCCTCTCTAGCAAATCGGTTTTTAATGATCTGAGTATAATCCATTTTCT